AAAGAAGTTGCATGAAGGTTAAAAAATGCACAAATTCAATTATTCACATTTCGTCACTTAAATGCACAACAAGTAACTGAATAGGTATTTTATTAGCAACACATTATCTGTTGCAGTTTAGAAAATATTGATTCTACTATAAACAATACTGACAACAGAGGGTCTGAAGAAGAATTATCCAATTGTAGTTATAAAAGAAGACTAAGTGTGACTCCACCATTAGAAACAAATTGTAAAATTAATATTAGTAATCAAAGAATCAACTCTGAAGAACCTACAATAAAGTAAGTATTTTAGTAATTCAATCTGAAATAGGACAACATGGTTTATTGATAAATATAGACATATTAAATAAGCCTTATACTATCTACTAGTAGAAAGAATATTAGTTAGGAGAAATGGCAAATTAATCAAAGATACCTGCCAAATAGTTTATAAAGTAAACAATAAAGCACTAAACTATCTCTTTTTGTACACAAAACTGACTGTTTAATCTTTCTCTTTACTCTTAAGAGAATTATTTATGCAGTACAATTTAGTAGCACTTAATGAATACATAGTTAGTGGTCAATAGTAGTTTTGTGGTCAGTCTATTTAAATATCTATATGCTAATATTGCATATAAAAATTTAATCTAATATTTAAATAATAACAATACTCTGGGACACATTGTACAACCAACTAAACTAAGTATACTTTTACTATAAGTGGTACTACACATTATACAGGGTGTAAGGAACATCACCATGACCATGATTCTGAGTGAAATAATGAAATCATTCATGAGTGAAATTATTGAGATTTCCTGCAAGAAAATTCATTGTTTGGTTAAAAAATGTCACAATGAGTAAACAGAACATTTCATCGTAACAAATTCTAAAATAGTGTACACCCTGTATACATTTTTTGGTAAGTATATACATATTATACCCAACATCCAAACCCATATAATAATAAATTAGGTTTTAACCTTTCAATCTGTTAGCATTAATATAATATAGTTTTAGTGAATTGGAACAAGATCAAAATATACTAGAAGCAGATCCAGAAAATGATGAACTACAATCACAGTCATTGATTGAACCAATACCACCTTCCATAAAGTAAGTCACAAAATGATTACTTATTCTTATTAGATAAATTAAATAAAATATATTTTTTCAAAGTATTTTCAGTGCTTTATTTACTATGGTTACGCAATAAAATTGGAATGCATGCAACATTCAATAAACCAATTCCGAAATCACTTGATTTTTATATGTGTAAAAACAAATTAGGGTTCATAAGGCCTAGTGTGATTTTATTTAACTGCCTCGATAGCGCAGTGATAGCGTATGCGGCAGCTGTGCAGGTCGGACCAAGTGTTTGTATGATCTGCAAATATTTGTTTCGGAGTTTGGGTGTTTTCCATGTAAAATTTGTCCCAAAATATTATTATTATATTCCACACCAACTCGATCGCCACGATGAGTCGGTGACCGCATTTGGCGTTGCGATTGGTCCGATAGAATTTTTCAACAATCGCAAAGGACAGCGGTCGCCGTAATGATCGATTTTATGTTCGCGGTCGGTCGCCGAGATGTGTGATGTAAAATAAACTCTCACTAGGCTCTTTTTAATGTCATCAATGTTGATGTGTAAATAAATTGAACTGCCCATTTATTTAACTTTGCACAATGATTTAACAAATATCAATGCGTTTACCTAAATATCATGACTTGCCTATTTGAGTTGGACACGTACCTATCTTGGTCTAGAACAAAAATCGCGTGGTTATTATTTATTTTTATCAGGTTAGTCAATAACATCAGCACTCCATGCTCTTTGGTTTCAGGACTGGCCATCAATTGTTTTACTTGTTAAACGCACCAGAAGAAGGTGGCAATGTTTCTTGGACGTCATTACCACAGTTCGATAAAAATCGATACAGTCGCGCCGTGTCCTTATTGAAAAAAGATTATATTTCTAAATATAAGGAATATTTAGAAAGTTTGAGCTCAAAGGAGTTATTTGAACATTATTATAAAACAGTTATTTAATTTTTAATGGTTTTTGTTTTACTATACCTATTTTATAATCTATATATATATATATATATATATATATAAGAGATTTCCACGTAAATGGTCACTCATCACGATATCTCTGGAACCATTAGAGCTAAAGACTTGAAATTTGGTAGGAATATTCTTTTCACCGAGTAGAGGTCAGCTAAGAACGGATTTTAAAAAATTCAAAAAAAAATTAAATAATGTAAATAGCAAAACAACGCTTGCAGGGTCAGCTAGTCACTTATAAAAGTTCTAGCAATGCAGGTCTTCCCGAGAGTTTTTATGCTGAGAATTGTATATTATGTACTTGTATGTGTACTCAGGGGCGGATCGTGAATATGTGGGGCCCTGAATGCCAATTCGTAATAACAGTTCGTTCTCAATTCAGTTCCGATCAACTTTCGATCTAGTTATGTTTTCATATGGCTTGAGGACGTGTTATAAATGAAATCACTTCTTGACTATTACATTCTCGTATAATAAGAGTATTGCATATACAGATGGAACTAACCGGATATGCAAACTATTTCTCTTCATTGTCTTTTTAACTTTTAGTCCTTAATAACGGACATACTAGCACACATCAAAACAATGTTGTGGTATATTTAATAGTGCCATCTATCTGTGAATTGCATAAGAGTGGCCATGAGTTTGTTTGCCCTTTCTTCTCATAAGGCTCAACCCCTTGGAAGCGAGCGGTTGTACGAGGGCGGGTCAATAAGTCCGTGACTTTTTGAATTTCTGACCTCTTTACTGAAAAAGCAACACTACTCCTGTCAACAGGCATCTGTCAGTTGACTCCTGTTAAAATTTGAACTTGTGTTTGACAGCTATCTTTATCAGACTACCCAGTAATTTGAAGAAAAAATGGAAAAAAGTGAATTTTGTGTGCTTATTAAGTATTATTTTTTGCGAAAAAAAACCATTACCGAGACCAAGGCTAAGCTTAATAAATACTATGGGGACTCTGCACCATCGATTTCAATGGTAAAAAAGTGGTTCACTGAATTTCGTTGTGGCCGTACAAGCACTGAAGATGCCGAACGTCCTGGACGCCCAGTTGAGGTCTCTTCACCCGAAACAATCGAAAAAATTCACGATATGGTGTTTGATGAAGAAGATTGATGAAGATTGAAAGTGCAAGAGATTGTGGAAGCCGTAGGGATCTCGCATGGCTCAGTGGTTTCAATTTTGAATGATCACTTGGGCATGAGAAAGCTTTCCGCAAGATGGGTGCCGCGATTGCTCACAGTCGACCACAAACGCAATCATGTAACAACTGCACAGGAAGGTTTGGCGTTGTTTAATCGCAATATGGTAGATTTTTTCCGCCGTTTTGTAACCGTGGACGAAACATAGATCCATCACAACACACCAGAGACCAAACAACAGTCAAAACAGTGGGTTTCTAAGGGTGAATCGGCGCCTAAGAAGGCCAAGGTGGGTTTGTCAGCTAATAAAGTTATGGCGACTGTCTTTTGGGATGCACGCGGGATAATCCACATTGACTACCTTCAAAAGGGAAGAACAATCAATGGGGAATATTATGCCAACTTATTGGACCGATTCAATGACGATTTGAAAAAAAAACCGACCTCATTTGGCCAAGAAAAAAGTTCTTTTCCACCAAGACAATGCAAGGGTGCACACATGTGCAGTTGCCATGGCAAAAATCCATGAATTGGGCTATGAATTGCTCCCTCATCCGCCCTATTCTCCAGATTTGGCTCCGAGTGACCACTTCTTGTTCCCAAACCTGAAGAAATGGCTTGGTGGAAAAAGATTTGACTCCAATGATGAAGTCATCTCGCAAACAAAGGCCTATTTTGAGGACCTCGACAAATCATATTTTTTGGAAGGGATAAAAAAATTGGAGAAGCGTTGGACAAAGTGTATAGAGCTCAAGGGAGACTACGTTGAAAAATAAAATGATTTATTTATCAAAAAATCTGTGTTTTATTCCAAAAGTCACGGATTTATTGACCCGCTCTCGTAGATCGGCACAGGCATATCACAGATTTTGTATGGGTTTGATTTTTGTTAAATATATTTGCTTACTATTTGACAAAACAGAGATTGTTGCTTTTGTGTGTGTTGATCTATGACTTTAGAGTCTACATAAAAGACGATTTCAAACAATTTTGAACATTTTATGAAATTAAGAGAGTTTGAGTTTATTTCGCAGTCTAATTTCTAATAAAAACTGGCTTTAAACAAAGTGAAGCAGACCCTTCCTTATACACCAGACTCAGACGACAATCCAGAGTCTTAATCGGACTCTATGTTGATGATGGACTAGTGGCGTCTAACACAAATGTTGCAGGAAAAGGGTTAATTAATAAACTAAAAGCTCGTTTCAAGATCACAACCAAACCCATCGACTACTTTCTGGGTATGGAACAAAAGCAGAAAAAGGCAGAATCACTCTATTCCAACAAGTCTATATAAAAAAGGTTCTTGAGAAATTTGGTATGATGAACAGTAAGTCCACACCAACTCCGATAAGTAAAGAATGTGTCAACGATACAGAACCTAATATTAAAAATAGATTTTGAATACAGACAGGCCGTTGGAGCTCTTACCTACTTAGCAGTAGGTACAAGGCCAGATATAGCCTATGCTGTAAGCAAAGCATCCAGAAACCTAGAGACACTCACTACAATTGATGTCATGCTAGTGAAACGGATCTTACGCTACCTCAAGGGGACTATAGACAAAGCTTTAGTATACAGGCACACAGTGGAGTCACCAAACAATTTGGTATGTTACTCTGACTCCGACCTCGCAGGATATCAAACAACAGGTAGATCGACATTTGGGATGGTGTGCTTACTCTCAGGATCTATTAGCTGGAAAAGTCAGCGACAAACTATAGTATCATTGTCGTCAACTGAAGCGGAGATAATCGCTGCCAGTGAAACTATACAAGAAATTTTGTGGCTGAACAGCCTGTTCAAAGACTTGGCCATCTAACAAAAACCTGTACTCTAGATCTAGATAATGAATCAGCTATAAAGCTTTCACACAATCCTAAATATGAGTACCATAGGCGGACCAAGCACATTAAGTTTGAAGACGGAAAGAAGCGGAAGAAGCACCTGTTTATGCGTGAATATGCAAACAACAGTGAACTTGAAGTAAAACAAGTACCATCCGTCAGACAACTGGCGGACATGTTCACCAATCCGCTCCTTGGCCCAAGATTGGAAGAATTAAGTGAAAAAATTGGTCTAAAAAGAATTTAAAAATTCTAAAAAGTTCTGAGGGTGTGAAGAGACTACATATCTTCCTACAACTTATCTATGACTGTCGTTATTATAGCGACGTTTGACTGTTTAGAAGTTACTCAACTGTTTTTTCCTTGCATACATTACGTATTCTTTAATGAATCTTACATTATTGTATTTGTAACTACAATAAAACCTTTTCTAACTGTTCTTATATTATTGCCTTGTCTATATAAAAGTGGTTCCACATTATAAAAGTTAACAGAATCGCCTTTCTAAGGAGAGGTCCAGTAGTCGACTATTTAGGCTGTTGATGATGAAATACGACTGTATTTTGCGAACAGCGACAGACGGACGTACGCACAGTAGTCTTAGTATTACACAGGTGGTCTGAAAAGTTTCCGACCTCAACACGAAGATAGCAGCACTCGTAAATAAAAGGCTAGTGAATTTCGTTGTTCATCTGGTGTGCGTTACCCCAGCAAAATAATGTCGAAAATGGTCATTTAAACGTACCAGTACATCCCAGTACATTCTGCTGTCTTTTTTTAAATGTTTAGTGTAATTAACCGACTTCAAAAAAAGGAGAGGTTCTCAATTCGACTGTATTGTTTTTTTTTATGTTTGTTACCTCAGAACTTTTGACTAGGTGAACCGATTTTGATGATTCTTTTTTTATTTAAAAGCTGGTGCTTCCGTGTAAATTCAATTCAATTTAGTTCAGTTCTGATAATGGCATCCATTTGAAAACCATATAAGTCTTAAAATTGCATTCAGTATGTTCGCAACAAACAGACGCGAATAACTCAATATCACGCAAACCGATTTCGATAAAAAAAAAATTATTAGAATGGATGTACTTTAAGTGTACGTAGTGTGTAAGTTTTCCTTCTCTTTGCAGTGCTGTTGTCCTGCGTAGTTTGCTTCCTCAGTCGACTTTTACGACACCCATGGGATGAAAAGGGGTGGTGACATTATGTATTCTTAATCAGTCACCACAGGGACAGCAACGGAAGTAATTGTCGTAGTCGAATATAATGATCAATGGAACTCCTTAACGGCTTACAGTATCGATCGATCGATGAGATCTGTGGCAATTCTTCTAGTCTGTATAAGTCGAAGTGAATGAGTTTCAGGTGTTTCGTTTGTTAAGCGATCTTGAATCAATCCGAGTCGGTGGGCACGTTGCTCCTCCGTTTCATTAGATAGACGATCGTGGATTAATCCGAGTCGGTTTGCACGTTGCACCTCCGTCTCATCAGATAGACGATCGTGGATTAATCCGAGACGGTAGGCAAGTTGCTCCTCCGTCTCATTAGATAGACGATCGTGGATCAAGCTGAGACGGTTTGCACGTTGCTCCTCCGTCTCATTCGATAGACGGTCGTTGATCAAGCCGATAAGGTGACTACGTATTTCGACTTTGTTTGTTTCATTCAACGGCCCTGTCTCATATGAGCAGCATATTTTTTAGGTCTACCCATGTTCAGACAAATTAGTAAGTGTACTTCAGATTCACTAAAAATAAAAAAATAAACAATAATTTTAACAAAAAAAAGACTTCAAAAACACTATTCCAAAACAAATTAATATTGCATATTCTTCTACAAATTAATAATCAACTTACTTTTTCTACTCATCAATATGTAAGTACGATCTATGTCAGGGATGCACAGACTTATTATGACTAGGGGCCACTCGGGCAAATTATGAACTGATGGCGGGCCGCCAGAAGTATAGGTAATTAAAGACATTAAAGAA